GTCGCTGTTTATTTCGGTCAGCCAAAGGCTCTTGGCAGCTGTCTGTGGAGGTTTTCACCCCGTCTTTGGGGTGCGGCGGTCGCCGGTGCTGTCAGCCAGGCCGTTTTCACAGGGAGCTCGTTCTGTAGGCCACAGTTCTGATCCAGGCGCACAATTACGTGAGAATATCGCTTCTCCGATTTTTTAAAAGGATGTTCCTTTTTGAAAGTGAGAAATAACGCTTCCTCTGCACACAGCCTTGCCTCGATTCGTGGTAGTACGTTCAGCAGACGTCTACCTTCTCCGGTCACAAACGCTTCTGTCCAAGAGAAACGTAAGGAGCCTGGGCACAGCCGCCAGCTGCTTCAGGCGCAGCATGTGTGACGGATGTCCAGCAAAGGAGCAGGACTTACTTAGCAAAGCTACAGCTTTAGTTTTATAAAGTGTGAGAGGGTTTCTTTGGCCAGTTTGGGGGAACATTTTTTCCACTCTCGATTTTAAGCGAAGCAATCTATGTAAATCAGTAGGATGCTTCTCGTCAGGAGCAGAGGTTTATTTGAACTTGGGTGCATGGAGACCTTCAGGACCACAACCGAACCAGAGAAGAGGTGGTGTTCCTGACTCCGGTATCAGCCTCTGGAATGTTTTGTGGCAAGTCACTTGCTCTTTGTTCATGGTTGTGGTCAGGACAGACTAAATGCATGCATTAGTTATGCAATGACTGGATCCCTGTAAAGGAGTTTGGCTATTTATTGCCTGTGTGAAAGCGTGGTTACTAACGCAAAGAACACGCGGAGGTTACAGGGCGGTGATTTTCTCTGTTTTCCCTCTCCTTGCCGGCAGAGGCAGTGGGTGCCTGTGGCTGGGAAGAGCAGCCTGCAGAGCCGGGCGGCTGCAGCTGTGCAGGCTTGGTCCGAGCTGGCCCTGAAGGGGGAAGGGGGGGGTGTCTTCTGGGTTGCATGGTCTTTGCTGGTTGGTGAGCGGCTCCAAGGTGTTGCTAGTTGATTGGCGTAGCATGTTGCTAGGCGAATGTTCTTGTATGACCTGAAGTCTGCTATTTCTGCCATTTATGGCTTTTTTTTCATAACAGCTGTCTAATTGTGCTTTAGCTGACAAAGCTTACATTGCTAACAGGTACACAGCAACATAACCAAAGGTCAAACTGTGGGCCAAGATGCCTCCCTGTATGTTTTATGTTAATTATTGTGGAAAATGCCACCTAAAAGTGCTTTGGAAAAATGATCTTTGCACAGCGCTAGCTCAACCTGTGCAACCCTAACTCAGTGTATAGCAGCCTCATCACACCCACCATGATTCTCCAGAGACACGAGAAGCTTCTGAAGGCAGTGTTATTGATCTGTGGCCTGAGTCCAGTGCGCTGCTCACCATATCCATATCTCAGATTTTTTCAGCGTCTGTCAGACTTCAGTCAGCAGGGTTAATGTCCCCAGCTGTATCACTATTGGATTATTTCCCTTTGATCTCCTCAGGGTTTCCCAAGCTCACCAGCAGTAACGCTTCGTGTCTTAATCTTTGCATAGGCTACTGAAAACCACAGATGTGTGAAAGAGACTGTAAAGTTTATACTGATACCGAGTACAAAGGAATGATGAAGAGACATATGGTTCTCTTCACTGGACATAATGTAGCCAAGCTTGACAGGCTCTGTGAATACAAGCCAAAAACATTCAGTGGGAGTATACTCTGTGCAGTAGGGGTATACTCTCTGAATAGGTAAGCTAAACATTCAGTAGGCCAGAAGACCTTGAAACTTTGTAGATAAGGAAGTGATGCTGAAGACAGCTAGTTTGTGAAGGTAAAAGTGTGCAAACTGAGCCAAAGAACAAACTGTGCATGCGCAAGAAGTGAGTTCAACTAGCGGTCACAGTGAGGAAGACTATCGACGACCACCAGAGGACCCTGAAAGACCACCAATGGACATAAGAGCGCATGCGTAAAGACTTTTACATATGTTAATGAAATAACATTAATATGTTAATCATGTCTCGGAAAACTAATGAATATGTATATTTTGATTGTACTTAACTCCTATAGCTAAGCAGTCCGGCACGCACATTAGGTGGAGTGATCCCCTGTGCGTCCGGCGCCGCAATAAAGAATGCCTGCTTTCTAAAACTCCAAATCGAGTCTTAGAGAGTTTTTCATCTGCCGACTTACGGTAACAATACAGAATAAAGAATTGTGAGATAGAGATTAGTTTTCAATTACTGTTTTATTCCCATGATTGAAGACACAGTCAGGTTTTGTAATTCAGAATTTTGGCTGCAAAATGTGGTCATGGACAAGGGTATGTATTTGAATTGCTAGGGAACTACTTAATCTGCCTACTATTCTGGGGACTAAGTTTAAACCACAGGGAGAGAGGGTTTGTGATTCATTGGCAGCTGTTGTTTGTTGTATGGAGAGAATTCCCCTTCCTCGGAATGGGCAGATGAAACAAGAATATTCCCTCGGTAAATTGTGGGAGCAAAGGGTGGAGAGGAAGCTAATCCATTTTATCTCCAGTTTTGTTTAGGGTAAGGGAAATTAGACTTCTTTGTTCTTCTTTAATTTCTGAACTTCTTCCACCCTGGGGAGAGGGACAGGATGAAGGAAGGTTCCTGTACTTTCAGTAGGTGTAGCTGGCAGTGAAAAGTGACTGTGTGGCAGATGTGTCAGTCTTCCCAGACACAACATACTGTCCTCTGCAAGCCAAACTGTTAATCTGAAAAAGAAACAAAAAGGAGGGGAAACCAGTTAGCTTGGAGTAAGAAAGACAGATGTAGAAAGACAGCAGGAGTAACCAAGCAAGGCAGAAATCACAGAGTAACATCCCTGGTGAACATGAAGCACCAGGAGGGGCAGGAACAAGAGGAGTCTTAGGAAGGTGACAACATGTCTCCCTTCATGGTGAGCAGCTCCTCTCTGCACTGGGGGGAAGCCTCGTACCTGTGCCCGCTTGCGGAAGGCCTCCTGTGCAGCCTTCTTGTTCTCGCTTTTGCCCAGCCATGCTGCCAGGGCAGAGGCTTGCAGGGCTCTCCCATAAGAAAAGGTCAGTTTCCAAGGCTTAGGCAGAGGGGACTGATTCATGGCGTTCAGGTTGACAGAAGCCTCCTCTTCACTCTGACCTCCAGACAGGAAGCAGATTCCTGCAAGAAAGAGGTTTCAAGGCTTAGAAAAAGTCTCTGCAATCCCTGACCTTTATGTGCCAGAGGAGCAAGCATGTCAGATGTAGGAGCAAGGCCAGCAAGAGTGACAGTGTGAATGGATACATAGGAATCAATCGGGAATTACCGGGAACGGCAGCAGGAACGGTGCGGAGAAGAGTAGTGACAGTTGCTACGGCTACATCCTGAGGGGTGTACTTCTTGGGGCAGGAAAGCCCCGCCGTCCCCATGTTGGGGTTT